ATTTCTATTTTTTTAGCCCTTAACATTTCATAATAAGGGCTTGGTGATGATGAACTCCTTGAATTTGATCTTATCTGAGAAGCACCTTATCTGTCCTTCCATTCTAAATGAAAGTTTTGCTGGATAGAGCAATCTTGGTTGTAGGTCTTTGGATTTCATGACTTGGGATACCTCTTTCCAGCCCCTTCTTGCCTGTAAGGTCTCTTTTGAGAAATCTGCTGACAGTCTGATGGGGACTCCTTTGTAGGTGACTGTCCCCTTAGCTCTTGCTGCTTCTAAGATTCTCTCCTTCATTTAAATCTTGGCTAATGTAATGATGATGTGCCTTGGTGTGTTTCTTCTTGGGTCCAACTTCTTTGGTACTCTCTGAGCTTCCTGGATTTCCTGGAAGTCTATTTCCTTTGCCAGATTGGGGAAATTCTCCTTTATTATTTGCTCAAATAAGTTTTCCATTGGTGGCTGTGCCTTTCCCCCTTCTGGTACCCCTATAATTCAGATGTTGGAGCATTTAAAGATGTCCTGGAGGTTCCTAAGCCTCTCCTCATTTTTTTGAATTCTTGCTTCTTGACTCTTTTGTGTTTGGCCATTATTTGCTTTCTTCTGGTCCACTCCATTGATTTGAGTCCCAGTTTCCTTTTCATTGCTATTGGTGTCCTGTGCAATTCCATTCATTTCAATTAGTTTTGCCTTCATATGTTTGTCTAATTTGTGGCTATAATCAACCAGTTCTGTGAGGATCCTGATGACCAGTGTTTTAAACTGTGCGTCTGAGAGTTTTGCTATTTCTTCATCATTTAGATTTATAGGCTCTGGGGCTTTGAGATCTTCTTGAGCCATTTTTGGTGTGTTCGTGCCCTTTAAGTGTGAGGAGCCGAGCCTTGGACTCCCAGGTTGCTGGGTTGTGACGCTGTATGTGGGGGCGTGGTCAGAGCGGGGAAATGGCGGCCCCCTCAGCTGTTTCTCGCAGCTGGGTGAGGAGCAGAGCCTTAGGTTGTTCACCGGGGCAGGGCCACTTAGGTCGCTGGATTATGACGCTGTATGTGGAGGCGGGGTTAGAGTGGGGAAATGGCGGTGCCCTCAGCCTCCGCTTCGCTGGGGCTGCTGGCGCTCATCCAATCGCCCACTCCCTCGATTGTCTATCCACACAGGAATGCGCGACCACTGTCAACCCACAGCCCTGCTCCCTCGCTGTTTCCCCGCAGTCACTCGCTCGGTCTCTCACTAGGTCCAACCCCACCCCTGGGTTCCGAGCGCCTGAGTCCGTCTGACCGAGTTTTCCTGTGCAACCCCGCTCCACCAGCTGCTGGTTTCACCCCTTACCAGTCAGGCTGAAGAATTTGTTGTTATCAGACTTGCGAAAAGTTCAATTTTCTGTGTTCTGGCTGTGTTTTCTGTTGCTAATATTTAGTTGTCTCTAAACTTGGTTGTGTGAGGAAGCACGCCGTGTCCAGTTATGCCTCCCTCTTGGCGGAAGTCCTATTTTTATTCTTTTAAAGATTTTATTTATTTATCTTTAGAGGGGAAAGAGAGAGGGAGAGAAACATCAATGTGTGGTTGCCTCTCATGCGCCCCCTACTGGGGACTTGGCCTGCAACCCAGGCATGTGCCCTGACTGGGAATCAAACCTCGATCCTTTGGTTTGCAGGCTCGTGCTCAATCCACTGAGCTACACCAGCCAGGACTTTTTTATGTTTATTTTTTATCCTCACCCGAGGACATTTTTTCATTGCTTCTGAGAGAGAGAAAGGGAGAGAGAAAAACATCGCCATGGCAGAGAAACATCAACTGGCCGCCTCCCGTAGGCTCCTGCCAGGGAATTAAATCCGAGGTCCTTCAGTCAAGGGAGGACACGCCAACCAGCGGAGCCACTGGCCAGGGCAAGGACTGTCTGTTTTAAAGCGAGGGTTGTGCCCCTTTAGTGAACAAAATCAATTTGCCACATAAAAATAAATGAAAGAGAATGGAAACTATTAGGGTGCATAGCATGTAGTAAGTATTTATTTATAATTAAATATGTGTCTGCTGGGTTGAGAAGGAAAATAAGTGTATTTCTTTGGTTTGTGGTTAAAAAGCAACCTGTGTTTGAAAGCCCTGGTTGTGGGATAGAACCCATTGCTAGTATTTGAGGGCTAAGTTCAAAGAGATACTTTATCCTGATTGTCTGTATTTCAAATGATCCTGATTTGTAGTCATTCTTGTCTCCCGTTCCACTATCTAGGACCCAAAGGGAAAAGGGGTGTGTGTGTGTGTGTGTGTGTGTGTGTGTGTAGCATTTGCCTTGCATGAGAATACCAGTCTAGAACAGGGTTTCTCAACTGCCACCCTAATGACATTTTGGGACAAATAATTCTTTGTTGTGGGGGCTGTCCCGAGCATTGTAGGATGGTTGGCAGCATCCCTGACCTCCACCTACTGAGTGCTGGTAGCAGCCTTCTCCTACTACCAGTTTCTTGCCAAATGTCCCTGCGGGGGGTGGGAGTGTGGGGTGGGGGGTGCCCCTGGTCTAGAGAATTACTGGTCTAGATCACAATGGCCTTGCTGTGCTATAAATCCCCTGGCCTCCCCATCCCATGTCTGGTGCTCCACCCAGGTTCCAAGAAGGCCTACCCAAGTCTGGCCCAGTTGTATCTGACAAGCTGACATCTGTGCCATGTAAAGCCACCAACAGCCCTGGCTGGGTGGTAGCTCAGTTGGTTAGAGTGTCATCCTGATATATCAAGGTTGCAGGTTCAATCCCCAGTCAGGGTACCTACAAGAATCAACCAATGAATGTATCAGTAAATGGAATGAGAAATTGATGTTTCTCTCTTTCTCTCATCAATCAATGAATAAACGAAGCCACCATCAGTTACAGAGTCAAGATCAGAGTCACAAGCTGGTGTTAGGAGACCTGGGTGTATGACTCACCCCTGTCAGTGGCTCTGGAAATAAGTCTGGGCAAGTCCCTTATCTCTCTGGCACCTGGTGATACACCTGTCCTAGCCACATCAAAGGGAGTTGGGTGCAGGAAGGATAATTTGATACATGGGAAAGCCCTTAGGTGAGTTAAAAGCCCTCTTCAAAGGGAAGTAGTATAATAAGTTCAGGCATGACTCAGGTGGTACGTTGCCTCATTGCCCTGAGTTATTCTCTCCCAGGGAAACAGAAAGTGTGTGGCGGCATCTAGCAATTGAGCAGGTGGGGAAGACGAACCCCCTTCATACAATTGCCCCCTGAAAACCAAGTGAAACTGGCTAAACTGGCATTTATGTCGGACCACACATGCCTGGAATGTGTTCCAGAGGGACACCCTGCTCAGAGCCAGGGCAGAGCTCTGTCCAGGATGCCCTGGGCAGCCCTGTCCAGCTCGGAGGTGGGGAGATTGATGCTGTGACCCTGCAGCCTCTGTTACGGCTGCTTTCAATCAAAAGGCTTTCGGAGTGGCGGCTGACATCTGGGAAAGGGAACGGAGGGGTAGATTCTTGCCTTCTGCTGACAGCGTTTTTCTATCCAGACAAGACAGGGACAGTGGCCTCAGAACTCACAGCTTCCCACCCTTGACTTGCCCACCACTTCCAGTCCTTGGGCCTGGTTATCTTAGTTCTGATTCTCACTTCCTCTTGAACACCTTTCAGAGGGTCTAAGGAATCAGGAAGTCTCCCTGATTTGATTGGTTCGAAAATGCAGCCATCACAGCTGCCCTCTTTCTTTTTGAGGCTTTGTTGACCTCCTCACGCTATCATTCTGGAAGTGAAACTCTGCAGGAGTAATTTGACACCTACCTGTACATTAGTCTTTAGACAAGTTCCATGAAGGGAGGAATGAAGTTTCTTCGGTTGATTGCCCCGCCTCCCCCCAGCACCCAGTAGACTGCACTCAGCAAATATTTGTTGAATATATGAATATTTAAGATATGGAAAGAGATAGTTTGGTTGGAGCAATTTTATGCAGGAAGATTTGAGGACAGATGTGTTTTTGGGGGGAGAGAATGCTACTTTTCACTGAGCACTTACTATGTCCCTCAGCTCCATGGCAAGCTCTTCGCTGCCTGACCTCATGTAATCCTCACAACAAACTCTGTGTCTTAAGTATATGAATGAAATCCCATTTTAAGGGCAGGGATGGGAATTAAGTTTTAAAGTTAGCACAAAAGGTAAAACTTCGGCATAATCAAAATAACTAATTTGAACACTCATTCAATTGCGATGCCTTTCATTGCCTCCTTACCCTGGAATATATGGCCATTTGGTGAAATGGTGGAGGGCTAAGGACTATCCTCTCGCCCCCAGCGCCTATGTTTGACTTGAAATTACTAATTAACTACGATGTGACTCCATTTGACTCCACTTTTCAGGGATGAGAAAGCGGGACCAAGCAGAAAATAAGCAGAGGGGCAGAGTACAGGAAGGGACAGCAGAGATGTCCTGTGGTCCCTGTAGGCAGAGGATGGAGAGCAGGGACCTGGGGCGGGGGATGGGATCGCCGTGGGGGCCACTGATTGCTCAGAGAACCAAAGGATAGTAGGCGAGAGGCCATCCCACATCTCCGCCTGACCCCCAGCCCTTCCCCTCCAGGTCACTCACCTGCTCTGAGGGATCCAAGTTTCTCTACCCAGTTACCTTCATTGGTACCTGCGTTGCTAGGTTACGCGCCAATCTCAGAAGGCGGGACTCGGAGCCTGACTGATTTTCCTTTTCGCCATTCAAGTCCACTTAGTTCCTCCCACTTTGAGATCTGACCAATTAAAGACATCATATCTCTGACCCTCCACCAATTGAAAGATCCAGACTGACTCTGAGTTGGGCCGAAAGAGCAAGGCGGGGAAGATGGGAGAGTAGAGGGGCGGAGCTTCTTGATCCCTCCCCTTTCCTAGGAGGCGGGCTGGGAGTCCTGCACCGGCAGTGGGCGAGAACTGTGGAAGGACTTGATATTAGGCCAATCATAACTCATCATGGCAGCCTAACGAGCGAATAGGCCTCAGCTAAGGGGAAGTGGGGCGGGGCCAGAGGGGTGAGGGGAAGGTAGGCGGTGGATGAGAGAGCTGGCGCAGCTGCTGTGGTGGCAGCGGCTGAAGTGGTGGCAGCAGCGGCAGCGGTGGTGGCTGCAACAGCTCCAGGCTCGGGGTCTCCACGGCGGCGCTACCGGCAGGCTGGGCTGCACGGTGCAGAGTCCGGCGCGCAGTCCGGGGTGCTGGGGCGCGTGTAAGAATTTGAGGGGTGCAAGGGATGGCCTGAGGAGAGGGCAGGGGTTAGGGGTCAGAGGGCGTGGAGTAAGAGTACGAGGCTGCTGCTGGCTAGAGTAGTGCGAGCAGTGGGCAGCGAGGGCAGGGCGGGCGCAGAGGGGCTGTGGGGAAGTCACCGCGGGCTTCTCTCCCTTCAGTCCAGGCCGGGACTTTGCACCCTCTTTCCTCGCCCTTGGCCCTTTGGGGCAACCCCTCTTAGGGGCCCAGACCTGAGTTGGGAGCACGTGGAGCTGGGAGCCCGCACTCCTCTTCCCTCCCTCCCTTCCTCACTTGTTCTTCGCCTTGGCGCCCTCAGGCGACTCCATTCGCGCCGGTCAGGCTGCTGGAGCAGACTGCACGACGGCCAGTGGCCCTCTCCTGGGACCTGTCCCTAGGGGTGACCTTTTCCTTCTGTGCACTCTCTGGAGCGAGAAGCACAGCCCCGCGCAAGGCGCGCTGGCCTAGGACCCCCGAGTCCTGCACTGTGTGCCCTTTGGCGGGTCCCTTCCCTCTCCGGATCTCACTGTTCCCGCTGTAGAAGGATGGGCTGGAATGAATTCAGGCTGCAGAACTGGTTCTGGGAGCGGCTGTAGGGTTAGGGGTAAGCCGATGTCCAGGGATCGGGCATTTCTGAATTCAGACTGCCTGGGTTGAAACCTGGGCTCCACGGCTTCCCGGAGGTGTGCTTCCAAAGAGGCAGGTGAAGCAAACGCCTCCAGGCCTCAGTTTCCTCATCTGCAACATGGGTGTTTCTCAACAGCGGCACTAGTAATGTTTTGAGCCACTTCTCTCTTTGTTGTGGGGGGATCTCCCCTGTGCCTTGTGGGGTGTTCAGCAGCAAACCCGGCCTCTACCTCCTAGTACCCCCCTCACCTCTGGGGAATTGTTACAATTGAAAATGTCCCCACACGGTGCTAGTGTCCCCTGGGAAGCAGGCAAGATACCCCCAGTTGAGAGCCATGAACTAAGAAAATGCCTGTAGGGACATAGTCATATATTAAACAGTTAAAACAAAACCCACTAGCCATTATGATTATAATGATAAAATTAGGAAACTGCTTGACAAGTTGAGGGGGTGAGTAGATTCTCCCGCCTTCAGAATGAATACCAGAGAGAATGGCAAAATGTTTAATTGTCAAAACTGAGTGAAAGTTACAAGGAAGTTCATTTACATATTCTCTCTACTTTTGGGTATGTTTGGAAATCTCTGTGGTAAAAAAGTTCAACCGAAAAAAAAAAAATCCCAAACAAACAAAATAAATAAAACCTTATTCTTAAGACAGCCAAATGGTAATGTCTCATTTGGGATTTCCTCTTCTGTCTCCCTGGTATTGAGATTTAAAAGCAAAAGAAATCCCCGGATCTGGAGGAAACATAAAAAAAATCTCGCAGGAAGTTTGCTGGGCAGAGAGCTACAGGCTTAGCAGCTAGCAGACTGGTTCTCACTTGTAACTGCCTTGTTTTAAGAAGACACTGACGCCCAGGGACCTGCTTGGGATTATTCTGAGGATTCATGAAAGAACTAAATTGCGGGTTTGCCGTTCAGTGAGTCAGTTTGGAGGCAAAGTTGATTGAGCTCAGAAAGCCTTGGCTTGAGGAAGGAACCTGCTGCTGTTTTCAAGTTCAAAGGTCTGCCATCAGATCTGCTGAGTGTTGGCTTTTCTCTGGATCCTCCCCAGCGGAAATGGGAATGTGTATAAATAGGAACTTGTAACAGGCTCGTGCTGAGTGTTTTAAATCGGGGACTCAGGATGCGGCATTTTGCTGGGTGACTGGAGATCAGAGTGGGTTTGCTGGGTGACTGGAGATCATAGATCGACACTATGGGCCAGCGTCGATGACCTGTCTCACTCTAAGTCTTTACAGGTCGTGGGAGCTGAGTGCTGCCTAAACCCAGGGCCTTGCACTTCGGGGAATTGTAGCCTAGTGGCCCTGGGGCTGGAGTCATATTGCACAGTTCAAAGCTTGGCTTTCTAGCTGGAGGTTCATGGGCAAGTTACCTACCCTCTCTAAGTTTAAATTCTTCCCCTCTGTGATGGGGCATACCAATCCTACCTCTTATGAAGTTTCCATAAGCTTTACTGAAAAATTGCAAGAAGAGTCCCTGGTACATAGTAGACACTCATTGAGTATTAATTGTTAATTGTTTTAATAGTTGTATTTTTTAAAGTTTTTTAAATCTTTATAATACTCACACAAAATAGGTGCAAAAGAGGGGTGGAGATGGAACATATTAGCCATAATCTCAATCTCTAGACATAATTGCCATTAACTTCAGTATTGGTTCTTGCAGAGTTTTTCCCCCACTTTTTCATGCTATTATACACTGCAGTACTCCATCAGTTTAAAGGGGTATATTCCAGTGGTTTTTTAGTGTGTCTGCAAGATTAGGCAACCATCACCACTACCTAACTGCAGAAGATTTTCATCAGTAGTGGTTGCATTTTAATAATTGTCTTTTTTCTATTTATCCCCAAACCCTAGAAGATGCCTCAAATGGAGGAGTTTCTGAGAAGCACCTCTGGGCCAGTGGCTTTGAAAGGGAGCTTAAAGCAGAGACTATTTACAGCCCTGAACATCACATCCTGAGGGCCACAGGAGAGAAGAACATGGCCATGAATTTAGATGACGACGTTCCCCTCATCTTGACCTTGGACGAGAGTGGCAGTGGCCCACTGGCTCCTTCCAATGGCCTGGGCCAAGAGGAGCTGCCTAGCAGAAGTAAGATGGTGGGGTGGGCTAGGGCTGGGGGTTGGGGGACAACTTCAAGGGGTGAGTACCGGCCTTGGTGGTCTGAGAGTAGACACGTGTACCCAAATGCCCAACTCTGTGTTTGACCCCCAGGATCTGACACAAACTTCTGGGAAACTCTAGGGTCCTAATCCTGCACCCCCAATCCTGCCCCTCAGTGCCTTGCCCTGTCCCCCTTGCACCTGAGGCACCCTGGCTTTGCCCCTGGGTGCAGGGAGGGGGAGGCCTCCGTCACACCTGTTCCTTGGCGAGCTTCCCTGCCCCATTCCAGGTTAAAAAAAGAAATAGATTTCAACACCGGCCTCCGTCTGTTCCAACCAGAAGCTGTTGGCAGGAAGGCAGAGCTGCTGCTCCCTGCCGGGGCTCCATCCCTGCATTGCCCTGTGCAGGGTGGCGGGGACAAACACTTGTCGGGATCCATCGATTTGAGGGTTTGGGGTTTTGCTTTGTCTTCCTCTAAACCATAGCCTAGCACAACGTGAACCTAGGAAAGGCGGTGAGCTTTAAATTTTTTAAAGTTTAAGTGTGTTTCTGGCAGAATGAGAGGCCCTAAAAACCTTTCTGGTGCTTGTCCCAAAGCCATTTGCATCATTCGCTCAGGCCTTGGGTCCAGGAGAAGCTTAAAATAACTTGCCTTTTACGGAGGGTCCGAGGACATCAGGGACTAGCGCTTTAGGGTCCCTTAGCAAGTAGGTGTTTGACCCGCCAGCTGTGTGCCTGAGCCAGGACGGAGGGGCATTGCTCTCCTCCAGTTCACAAGTGAAGATACTCGGGTCCAGGGAAAGGCGAGCCAGGCCCCCGTTTCCCTTGTCCAAAGGGAATACAGTGGGGTCACAGGGAGCTCAGCAGGCCCCCCCCCGGAAGGAATGAGGAGAGCGGTGTTCCCCTGGATGGGAGTCCGTGGGAGACCTGGCTCCCTGTACAAGGGCCTCCTTGCTTTGGCCTGTTCACGCCATCTAGGGTGGTGGAGCTGGGTGGTCGAGGAAGGCTAGCATGCCAACCAGGGCTGAGAATGCAGGGACCGTCAGGCACACTTCTTAAATGCCCTAGAGCTTGCAAACATAGCGTTCGGCTCTTTTTCATCTGTTACCTTAACTAAGGTCCTTTTGCTAGGTAGGCAGGTTATCCCTGCTTTATAGAGGAGGAAGCAATGAGTCAGAGAGGGTAGGTGACTTGCCTGATGTCACACAGCCAACAAGTGGTAGAGCAGAGATTTGAACCCAGGTTCCCTCCCCCACTCTTCTCCTCTTTTATCTCCTCCTGCGCCTCCTGCTTTTCCTCCATCTCTTTTTTTCTTGATACCCCCTTAATAATGTGAGCACTAGCCTTTAGCATGTACATGTATTTTCTCGTCATATAATCTCAAGATAGTTATTGTTATCTGCATTTATCTTAGCCTCAGAGAGGTTAAGTTACTTGTCTAAGGTCACACTAGTAAGCAGCAAGCCTTCTCCCATCTTCCCCCCCACACCCCGGTGTCAGGGGCCTGGGAGAGGGGGTGTAACGAATGTGACGCAGTCTCAGCTTCAGAGTAGAGCCCCCTAGTGTGTGGGAGGGGGGTCCGTCAATGGCCGACAAGGGAATGGACTGCACGGGAGGGTGGTTGCTGTGCTAAGGCTGTGGATCATTCTGGAAAGAGGCTCAAGATTCTAAACCGGGATCCTGACCATTTGTGGTGCGTTCTACATTTTTCTTTTTCCGCGTGCCACTTTTAAGTTCTTCCAAAGTGTCGGAGCCGATGGCAGGGTGTCCAGCTCTCCTGTGGGATCAAAGTGGGCAGAGCAGCCTGATTCTGTGTCAAGATCGGGCTTTAAGCGGAATTCGATGAGTAGGAAATGTTCCAAAAAGACAATAAAGCCAACCCTGGATAGGCCGCTGGGGGGCCTTCCTTATCTGATTTCGGTTTGTTTCTTGAGAAAAACACCATAGCCCTGACTGGCATGTCTCAGCGGGTTGAGCGTCGTCCCACAAAGGGAAATGTTGCCTGTTCGATTCCCGGTCAGGCCACATGCCCAGGTTGCGGGCCAGTCCCTGGTCGGGGGCGTGAGCGAGGCAACCAGTCGCTGTTTCTCTCACATATTGATATTTCTCTCCCTCCTGTCCCCTCTCTCTAAAAGTAAATAAATAAAAACTTTAAAAACGAAACAAACTATAACGCCACACAGTGAGTTTCCGCTCACCCTCTTCCTGGGACATTCGCTAAAACCTCTAAGACTGAGCGGTTGGAATGCACCAGGCCTGGCTGAGAAAACGGCAGGGCCTGTCCGGGGAAGGCAGGGATTCGGAGGAGGCCTGTGTCCCTTCGTACAGCCCTTTGTTATTTCATGCTCGGATTTTGGCATTGACCCTCTACCCAACATCCCCCTTCCTTGTCGTCTGAGCACTCTGTCTCAAATGCAAAGCCAGCCTGGTGATTTCCCCAGCTCGAAGCTCCCAGGAGCCTCCTGTCCCCACTGGATGAAGACCCAGCTCCTTACGAGGCCTTGTGCGTTCCAGCCCTTCTCACCTGACCTGTCTCGTTTCCTGCCTGGGCCCACAGTGTCACGCTGCTTCTAGTTCTGTGAGTCCCCCAAGCTTTCTTACCGTTCGCCTGGCTGGTGACTCGGTGGGGGATGCCTGTCCCAGCCTCTTGTTTGCTCATGAGCTTCGTTTCTGTCTTGAAAGTCCTGCTGGCGATCCCACCTCTCTGACCCTTTCCCCACTGACAGGGCTAATGACGCCGTTTTCTGCTTTGGCATCTCGTTTAGGCTTCCATTATTACAAGTAGCTTATTGTGTGGCAATTCCTTATTTGGCCATCTGATCACCTACGAGGCCTGAGTTCCATTCATCATGGTTATCACCCAGCTCGATGATGCATTCAATAGATCGTGGTTAAAATAAACCTAGTTGGGTTTCTGGAGCCTTGTAGCTGGTGGGAGTGGCTGTTTATCTGAGGGTCCTAGTCGGAGGTGGGCAGTATCCCCCCTGCCAGTGGTTTGAGTCTCATTCCTCCCAACGGAGCTGATGTAACTCTCGAGGTTGTGGAATGCAGGCGTGAGTCTTCAGCAGCGCACCTGGCGCTCCCTGGGCATGAGGCACTGGCAGTCAAGCAAGCGTTCTAAGGGCGTGAGCCTTCATCCAGCCTGGCCTGTGCCTTGACCCAGCGGCTGTTGCCAGTGCCTCTTCCTCTGGCTCTGTGCTGACGTGTTCCTTGTCTTAGCCTGGGCCGCCATAGCAAAACAGCACAGACTCAGGGTTTGAACAACAGAAAGGTGTTATCTCCCAGTTCTGGAGGCTGGAAATCTAAGATCAGAGGTCAGCAGGTACGGTTTCTTCTGAGACCTCTCTCCTGGGTTTGCAGATGGCCACCTTCTCACTGTTTCCTGACATGTTCATCCCTTGGTCTGTGTGCCTGTGTCTTACTTAAGCTTTTCTTATAGGGACACCAGTCAGATTGGATCAGGGCCCACCTATGTGACCTCATTTCACCTCGGTTACCTCTGTAAAGGCCCTCTGTCCAAATACAGCCATATTCTGTGGTCCCAGGGATTAGGGCTTCAACAAAGAAATTGTAGGAAGATGTGATTCAGCCCATAGCTCTCCGGCCCTTTGCTCAGATGCAGGTACCCGGGAATGTGGCTGTGCTGCCGATGACCCTTGATTCTGGCCCAGGGATGATGTATGATGGGGGCATTATCCCTGCACGGAACTGGAGGGTTTGGGAATGTTTTTCCTTATGTGGGCAAGGATGGATATTTCCCAAGACTCAGGCATCTCTGTCTGGGCTATAATGGTGGCTGCCGGAATGCTAATGAGTGACTCGTAGGCAGAAAATGTCAGGTTGATAAAGGAGGCAGGTCTGAGCAGAGGTATTTAAAGCCTGCAATTAGGAGTAACCTTGAACACAGTTCAGAGGGGCCGGCCTTTTGACAGTGCAGTTTAGAGATGGCCCGAGTGCTGGACATCAGGCCGTGGTCTAGACCACCAGTAGACACAGTCTGACTGTCGTGGGCAATACAAGGGGTTTTTCAAGGGAGTACGGGTCACGCTTAGCTTTTACCTTCTCATCGCCTTTCAGTGCAACAGCGGCCTAAGGTGGGCCTGCGTGGTGTGCCCTCTCTGGGTGAAAAGGGGGTTGGGGGCCAGGGAGGTGGCGGAGGCTTGAGCAGGGCATTTAGTCTCATGGGCTACACTGGTGCTGGTAGTTCATGGTTGGCAGGTGACAAGCCACACCCGGCTAAGGCTTAAGGTGATGGAGCAGAAGAGGACCTCTTTCTCCTTCATCCTGATGTCTACTGTGCCCTTGGCAGTTCCCTGGAACCCAGTGTGGTATCTAGCAACGTGGAAGGTCACTGTTCCTTGGCAGGGGGGTCAACGCCTGGTGCTCTGGCTCCCTTTCCAGAGAGTTCATGCAGCCAGAGCCCATAGGCACCAGGCTCAGTTGAGGTGGACCAGCACACTTGGCCTTGGGGCAGACGCAGCCAAGGTGAGCTGGAAAGAACAGTGGGGCGTACATCCCGGGATGCTCACCCCCAGGTGGGCTCCACGGCATAAATCTGTAGTTCTTTCCCTGACCCAGTGTCCCTAGTATACTTGCCTGCGAAGTTAAGCCAGAGAGACTTGCAAAGCTTTTGTGATTTGTGATATCCTGTGAGGTGGTGTGGTCAGGCCTGTGGGCTTTGGAGTCAAGTACCGGGCCTCCCATTCCAGCTGAGTATGGGGCTTAGCTTCTCCAAGCCTCAACCTCCTTGTCTCTACACTTGGGTCAGAGAGCACCTCCCAGGAGGGCTGTTGGGGGGCATTTAGTGAGCCCACATGATGCCCATGTGAGTGCCTGACCAGCCATACATGTTTTTATCATGGCCAAAGACTGGGCTTGTTTGCAATATCATGGCGCACAAGCAGGGGTCCTGAACCCAGGCCAAGATCTGAGCCCTGTTTACCTCACTCCTGGCCAGCAGGTGGCCCCCACCAAGCCAGGAAGCGGAG